TTCACTGAGTTACGCAAGCCCCTTCGCCACGACAAGGCAGTGATCCATGAAGGGGCTACATACAATACAGTCAGATAATCTGGACTGAATATTGTTGATCATAATCCAGTTCATTACAATGTGGTTAAAGCAAATAGCCCACAAATGTTACCAGCCGGGCATCTGTGCCCAAGAAGAATAATCAGTTTTCTCTGTTCAGTAAAATCTTGATTATGTGAGTTACATAGCCACAGAAAATGTTCTGAGATATAATGTAAGGTATAAAGTACACATAAGATAGAATAATACTAGAGCTGCATCTGGAAAGTGAAAAGAATAAAAATAGTAAACTTGCCTGTCACTAAAACCTAGGGCTGTGCAGCACTTTGGATTTAAAGCCAAAGAAGTGTCCTGGAACAAATATTTGTTGGCACCTCCTTAAAGAAACCATGTCAGTCCTGGGATTAAAGGTAGCCACCTGAGGCCAAGAAAGTACATACTGGAGTTAAAAAGGTATCAATAGCATGCAAAAATATGTTTTGGAGTGGTCAAAGGTGCATTGTCAGCACCTTTTTAACTCAAGCACAATCCCAGGAAAAGTAGTAGCTTCGTTAAGGATGTGCCAAGAGGAGTAGCGTGCATGCCCATGTCTGCTCTGAAGAGCCTTTTTAGCTTTGGATCCAAAGTGCTGTACATCTGTACTAAAATCACATGCAATATAATATGCACAAAATTGTAAGGAAGATCACAATGCTCATTTTATTGTTTTCACACTAACCTTGCAGCTCAGGACCAACAGTGGTTATTATAGCTCCTAGACATCGACCCAAACATTGGTGTACTTCTGTATGGGATGGAGGCACTGTCAGAAGTAAGGTAAGGACCAAAGATAGGGTTGGCTCTACATATCCACGGTACATTGGTCCACTGGAATCCACTATTAGAGCAAGTGAATGGAGAGACCACGTCTAGAAGAAAAATGAATAGTTTAATTATATGCTTTCATCTTAACTAGGATCATGATTTAACCATGATCCTATAATACACACATAACACCTGTATGTAGGAGAAGCACAGGTTCTTTCATTCAACTGTTTATCAAAAGGATAATGAATAAAGTTGTTAAAGCAAGAAGCCTGCCTTATTATGATACAAATATTTTATCAGAATAAGAGTCACACTAACTTTAATAAATGGATTCCTTCCAGCAGCAGCAAAAAAGTCATGTTTCTTAAATGAATAACAAAGAGATTGCACACTTTACACAAGTCCAAAGCACATCTGAATATTTTTCAAAGTATGAATAGCTCTATTGTATATTAATTTTACCTGAACTTCAGGAGAGGTTCCATCTTGTGCCAGTGCTAACAGAATGCTAACACTGGTTTTCAAATGCTGCCCAGAACCTATTCCACCAACATAACGATGCAGACAGCCAAGAGCCAAAGAATGGCCAGTTCTTGATACAACATCCCTAGCAGATTTCAGCCTGCAGTTTTTTTAAAAAAAATAATTAAATGCATAATCAAGATGGCAAAACTCTAGCATAAAACTATTTTATGAAATGACAAAAAGCAGCACTAGGCAACCCCATAAGCTCATGGACATTTTTGGAATTCCCCAAAGCATCATTGTGGATATTCACAAAATGAACAAAGTTACATAAATATGATTACAGTTTTATTTTAAATAAGGTTGTATAATTAAATTGTTAAAACATGTCTATACTTTCAAAATAACTCAATTTCCCCATTAAAAAACATAATTTTCAATTCCAACAATCATAGAATATTAATGTAGGGTAGAAGTAGTTGGGTCTAAGTCTTAGCCTTTGTCTTTAAGAGACAGAGTTATCTTCATGATATTTATAACATTAAGCATTTATGAAGAATTCACTGAGTAAATGAGCCTGGGAGAAAAACTGAATCTGAAAAATTTTCTCAATTTTTCCCTCCCTTCTTGCTCTCACTTCTCCCCTCAATTTTTTTCACATATAGGGGAAATATTCATACTGTAGTATTACACCTACAGTATGTTATACAGTAATCTTTTTAATGATTTGTATTATATGAATCCCTCATTCTTCTACAACCATGAACTGATGTAAAATAAATACTGCAGCTCAAAGAATTATAACTCCTAAACCTCAAACTCCTTTAAAACAAATTGATTTTCTTCCTTTGATTCCATACTATTCCAAACTTTACTTAGAATCCAAGGCTAATCAAGTTATCTTGACATCAAAACTAGTTCTGTGTTTGCATATGCTCCCTTTCAGGCAGGAAACAAATGCAATAAACTTGCATTTTTGTATTCTTTTTTGAAGTGAGATCCACTGAATTCAATAGAATTTATGCCTTCTGAAATTGTTTTGGATTATGTAGAGATAATCTTGGAAGAGAGTAGCAGCAGAGTTTAGGACAGAATCTTTTTTCCTAAACTGCTCAAGGTGTGCTAACATGTCTCTTGACCTGCCTAGCACCAGAGAGGCTGTAACCAGCTCATCAGACACTTAGTTACTTACTTACTTACTTACATATTTAATATGCCGCCCATCTCCCCCAGAGGGTGACTCTGGGCAGCTTACAATTAAGACACTTCATTGAACCATATCTGCTTTCAACCCTGCACCATCACATGACACCTCACAAAGCATCTGAAGACACGATTGAAGCAACAAGTTCTTCTAGCCAAGCACTTAGGTAGGAGTTGTAGTGGGAGGAGGGAGGGATCTCATCCACTGTTCTTTCTTAATCCACTTCTGAGCAGCCACTTCATTGCTTGTGGCCTCTACTATCTCAGGAGCCAGAACCACCGCCATCTGCTGCATGCCACTCAACCTCCCAAATTCTTCCTATCCTTAAATGGTAGTAGAGGTTGAGGGAAGGGATACAAAAGCTCTGTAGCATCATAGCAAGCTTCCATGGGCACAAAGGCCATACATCTTTCAAATCAACAAAACTAAGTAAAACTGATCAGCTTCATTTATGTACATCCTTACAGCCAACTTCCTTCAGTCATAGTTTATTAAGCCAGAATTATTATGATATGCAGGTGGCCCTTGTTACACACAGTTCACTTATTTGCAGTTTTGAATATTCATGGCTGTTAAGTGCAGACCAGACTTTGGTATACAGATAAAGATTTTCACATATCTACATTTTGGCTTTGGTTTTGTTTCTTTCTGCTTGTACAAAATGGCAGGTGTGCTTTTACATATCTGTAAAGCATGTTTGTTTGTTTTCCCCCAGAGGTAGGTTAGATTGTCTGCACAGTGCATTTGCTCCTTGTTCTCACTTGGTCATAGCAGATCTTGCTGGATCAGCTTGACTGCAAGGCTCCAAGTGGCTATCTTGTGGTAGCTGGCTGCTTTCTTCTCTGGAGCAACTTCGTTGGCTGGTGATGAAGGGTGTTATCTGCTTCATGTAAAATGTCTCATTATAGCTTCTTTACTTTATGTGTCTCTTTCACAGTCAAGGTAGATGAGCCTCTTCATTGTGCTGCAGTAGCTACTGCTGGTGGAGAATGCCCATGGCTCACTCCAGTGAGGTTGGGCTGAGGTAGTCCTCTTTCCTTTGAAGCCTTAGAACAAAGTACTGATGATAGGGGCTGGTACTGCTCCTGCAAGCAGGAAGAGGACAACCTGTCTTGGATGAAGAGGATGAACACAGGCTCCAGAATCTAATCACTCAATTTCCATAGGCTCAATGTTTCATCATTCATGGTTTCATTATCCATGGTTTTATGTTGGAACAGAACCACTACAAATAACAAGGGCCACCTGTATAATGTATATATTATTCACATTTTATAGAAGAAAACAATTTTAAAAAATAAAACAAACAAGCCCAAACAGAAGTAGTATTTAGCACAGTTCTTGTTTTGCTTAAAGTAAAATCAAAACATACTTATCAAAGCTGTACTGAGCCATCCTGGCAATGAAAGTTGCTTCTCCAACCACCTGTGCCATTCTGCCCAGAGCTTCTCCTGCAGCACACCTCAAAATGGGATTAGGATTGTCAAGTGCTCCCATTACAAGAGTCAAAGCAGACTTGCGGACTTCTTCTGGTCCTAAGGTACTTTTGTTCTCAGCTAAGCCCTTTTACAAAAGATAATATTTTGAAACATTATCTAGAACCACATTTTTAAAGCAGCCATAGATTACTTAAGAAAATACCTAAATGAATGTGTTCTTACATACTTTTTAGCATCTTACAAATCATTACATTTTAATTACAAAATTATTGTTATGTGTTCACTTTACAATCCACCTTACTGCCCATAGGACACTCAAGGCACTAACAATAAAAATAAGACCATCTTTTAAACCTAATAAAAACTATTAAAATAATTGTTTACTAAGTCAAACTGAAAAGGCCTGGCTGAAGCAATAGGTCTTGATTGTCTTACTAAAAACAGAAAAAGTGCAGGCAAAACTCCTAAGAGCGCATTCTATAGCTTGAGAGCAACACTACAGCTTCACCTTTTGAAGCAGATTTACCTTTAGTGCACTGAGAACAGCAGTAAAAATATTAAGCTGTACCGCTTGTTGACGAACACCTTTTGCCTGTTTGATGCATTCTGCAAAATGATCCAACATTTGTAGCCTGAAAATATAAATATCATGAGGAAAATAGCATTCAAATAGCAAAAACTCGCATTTCAGTAGTAATGACTGCTAGATACCTCGACAGCATAAAGTAGCTTTTGTCAGGTATGAATTAACGTAATTAGAATTATCTCTGAAGTTTATTTTGCCTAACTTTAAAAATCCAGTCTTGTGCTGTCCAGATGCACTGGGCCTTTAATGAAACTTGGTTTATTTGGTCAAGAATTACATAATTGCTTTTATGTTTGTTGGAGATAAATGAATATATTTTAAATTCTTGCTGGCAAACTTAAAATTTGAGTTCTTGCACTGAAATTATCACCTATCTTAATTAAGTCTTGTCCCAGTGGTGTGATATCTTAAGTGTGTGGGTGGTGCTGGGAATATTTTGTCTTTCATTTATTTAGAGGACCATTATGAATCACTAAAAGCCTATCCATTGCATAACCAGGGTAGGATAAAAGTTATTTCTCCTTAAAGTTTTATTAGCAAAATGTCTCCTGAGTGCTTCATTAGACAATCATCTTCACAAAGGATACCAGTGTTTCTCTTGTCTTTTAACTATACTAGTTATCTCTTTTCTTTCTTTTTCTTCTATCCAACTTTAGCTGCCTCTCTCCTCACTAACCTCCAATCTCCTCCCCCACCAACAGCTCTCCAAGTTCTCTTAGATTTCTAGTTGCCTTCCTTATTAAGAAATATCTATATAACTCTTTAACTTCATCAATATAGTCTTTAAGTTATACTGGCTAGCATTTCTGGGTATTACAATCCTAATATATCTGGAGGGCATCAGGTTGGGAAGGACTGCTCCTTTTGAGAAAATATGCACACTGATAAAACGGAGAAGCCAATTGTTGCATTAGAAGTAAATGCAACATCAGAAAACTTCCAAATAAAAATTACCTTTGATCTTCAAATATGATGTAACTCCTGCTAATTATAACAGTTTTCATCACATTTAGATAATTGATTAGTATGCTAATCAGACAGTATGTTTATCTTCAAGAATGTACAAGGTACTTCATAAGCTTTTTCCAAAGGATAACTTATAACATTTGAAAAATTACAAAAATGAAAAAAAGGATAACATCTTTATATAAGATTCTCATTTTGATATTGCTGAATGAAACACCTTAATGAGGTATATAAGTGTTAGCTTTTATAATAACAAACCTGTGTTTGTAGGACACATGAGGGAAAACAACTCCAAAGAGAGCCACCGAGGCATCAATGACTGATACTCCCAACGGAAGAGGACCTGGCACTGCTTCTCCAGCTGGGATGCGCAAGTAAATGGAGGAGGGATCATGTTCTAGTGCACCACTTCCTGAGGCACTGTTGGGCTGGAGCTATAAAGCATCAGCATATTTGAAATAGCAGAAAAATATATCTTTTACACCTTAACATTTCATACCTGCTAAAGAAATGCTGTCTTAGCTAAAAGAGTATTTCAAAATTATTCCTGTAGAATGGGGTCTGTACAATGTATCTTCAGATTGCACAGTGCAATTACATCCCAAAATAACTACCTCTGCTATTCATGCAAATATTTTCCTTATCAGAGAATCACAGAGTTGGTAGGGACCTTGGAGGTCTTCTAGTTCAACCCCCTGCCCAGTGCAGGAATCCTCACACCATTCTGGACAAATGGTTGTCCAATCTTTTCTTGAAAACCTCCAGTGATGGAGCACCCACAACTTCAGTAGGCAGGCTGTTCCACCACTTAATAGCTCTTACAGTTAGGAAATTCCTCATTAGTTCAAGTTTGGATCTCTCACTATAAAGCTTCCACCCACTGGTTCTTTTCTTACCCTCAGGTGCTAGGGAGAACACTAAAGCTATTCCCTCTTTTTTGTTGACATCCCTTCACATATCAGAAGACTACTATCATGTCTCCTCTTAGTCTTCTTGTCTTTAAGCTCACTTACCAAGGTCCTTTAACCATTCTTCATAGGATTTAGCTTCCAAGTCCCTTACCATCTTTGTTGCTCTTCTCTATACTCTTTATTGTTGAGACCACAACTGGACACAGTATTCCAAGTGCGGTCTGACCAGAGCAGCATAGAGCAGTACTATCATTTCCCATGATCTTGACACTATTCCTCTATTGATGCAGCCAAAAACTGTATTGGCTTTTTTGGCAGCTGCAGCACATTGCTGGCTCATCCTTAATCTGTGACCTGACAGAATCCCAGATCTTTCTTGCAAGTACTATTGCTAAGTCAGGTGCCACGTATCTTGCACCTCTGCATCTCCTTTTTCCTTCCATGTAATAGAGAAAGCTCTATGTTATCCACAGGCTTTCCAGCTCAATCAAAGCAAAGAGCTTCCCATCAGGGAAGTAACCTGCATCACTCAGTAAAATGGATTCAATTGTTTAATTACCAGGATTGCATGAAATTCCTGGATGGATAACTACACAACATACATTTTCATCCAGAGTTTCTATCTGGAATATGAGGAGGAATCACACACCACAATAGAGTATGTAAAAACTAGAGAAGCACAGCATCTAATAACTGTAGAAGGTCCAACTTTATATCCTTACTAGAACCTTTCCCACCCTCTGTCCAATATACAATATGCATCGTGTGGATCTATTTTCTTGTTATCAAACTCCTCTGAGGGTTAACAGAAAGGAAGGATATAAACATTCTGTTAGGCAGTATTTTATTGAAAGAGTTACTTCAGAAGTAAGAGTATGGCTAACACACCTGGGCTGCAAAAGTCTGAATGAGCACTAGATTTCTGCATCTATTTAGTGGTTCTGCAGCCCAGATATGGTAGCCCTATATAAGAAAAATAAGCAATATTTCTCATTTATCAGTATTTATTTATCATATCTTAGTTCACTATCCCAATAATAAGGGTCAGACAAACATTCCTGTATATTGAAAGACAGCTTGCTAGAAATAATTTCCAATTTCTTATACATCCAGGTGGCTTTAACAGATTACAAACCAAGTTTTGCGATGTATTTCAGCTCCTGCTAAGAGTACTGTTGTAAGAACCTGGAGCAGGAGCCTTTAGTGCTAATTGGGGATTATATACATCATGTTTGATTTCTGCCTCCTGAGGACTCAGATGTGGGATTGCCTCTGCAGTGGCAGTTTCTACACTCTGTAAGAGATACTTTTACAGGAAGCATTAAAGAAGAGGAGGAAAAGCTGCCACTGCTTCAAAAACATGGACTTTATCAAACACTAAAGTAAAAGAAAATATAACTGCAACATAATCTTTTCCAAGACATCCTCTATTATGCTGGTCATTATTCCCTAAATCAGAAGTGAGAGCTGCATGATGAAATAAATGGTGAAACCCAAAATTTAGGGAAGCTCAGAATTGGAGGGAAGATGTGTATATCTGCTATGAAATAATTAATTACATTAATTGAGTTAAAATACCGTATGTCAAACATGGGGGACTATAGCTCTCCAAATATTACTTCACTACATATTCCCATATTAGCTGGAGCTGCAGAGAACTGTGTTCAGTAGCATCAGGACGCTCAAAAGTTTTCATTTCTTTCATGTTCTTAACTATACTGTGATGGGGCAACTCTGGGAGGACTGAATGCAGAACCCATTATTTTATTTTTGGGAGGCTCCATTTCAATTTCAAACTAATAGTTTACTGCTTTTATTTATTTATACACACACACACACAAAATATGACAGTTTCCCTAATGAATATGCCAATATTAAAAAAACAGCAACCATATAATTTGTTTGTTACAGATGTAACAAGTGTGTAATAAAAACAGTTGAGGTTTGGGAAGGATTTGAAAAGAAGATTGGATACCTGATCTTCAATTGATTTATGGTCTGTTTCCTGCAGCCAAGAGCCAAGAAGAACACTGTCATCATAATGGCAAAGTGATCTAAGCAGGGATGTAGTTGTATTAGCAGAGTTGTCTGTCAGAGTAAATTCTGCCACCAGCTCCCGAAGAAGTGGATTAAAAGATCCTAGAGAAAAATAACAAAATACAGTTTTTACACAGTGCATTAAACAACAAGCATCACATGATCCATCCTAATTTTAAAACAGGAAAGCCAGAACTAATATTATTCCAGGAGTGCCAAATCCCATGGCAAAATATCTCTTTGCAAATTGGACAGACAATCTTCAAGCTTACAGAAACTTCTGCAGCTTCCTATCATGAGCAATCCCCCATAATATCTGTATGATGATGAAGACCATTATTTGAAATTAACTCCTAAATATTTACAGGAAATGTTGTTGATGATAATGCTGCCATGTATGAAAGTGAGTATATGGGAGCACAGAGTTCTGCTGAACTTTCTGTTGTTTTAAAAATAGAGCAATAAAATGCTTACAAAACTTCTACCTTATATTAAAGTAGTATTTTTAAGAATAGAAGGAATAGTGAAAAAAATAGTGCATTTTACCTTCATATGTTTTTGGTGGTAACAAAGCCAAAATGTCATAAAGCCTTAATCGAACCATTGCTGCACTTGCCTTCAGATGTGCTCCATGGGCTTTAATTACAGAAGGAATGCTATCATGTTAAAAGAAAACATGAAGGTTACTATTAATTTAAAAAGCTATTTAATTTATACTGTAGACACAGAGTATTGTGAATAAAATCACCTTTTCCCCTGTGAATTTTGGAAGATGCATGCCAACCGGGCAGGGAAAAAGCAAACCCACACTATTTTGCTCTTTAAAATTTCAAAGGGAGGGAGAATTGGTGAGATTAGCAAGGTATTAAGACAGAATGCAGGGCGTTAATGAACGTAGCCTAAATTCGTCACCCATACATATCTGAACTCTCTTTTACATAAATTTACTACAATTTACCATCCACCACAGTACACACACAGACACATCCATCTGGGGAGGGAAAATATAAAAATATAACAAAGGAGGAGAGATGTTGATTAGCAAATGCAATAAGAACACAGATCACAGACTGCCCGCTTCTGTAGTATCTGCTAGAATATGAACAAGAAACATAAACAAAGTTCAAAAAGCAATAAAGAGAGGGTGCAAAAATTAAATTACAAAGTGATGAAATATCAACATGTTAATTTTGATATTTGAATGAAGCTTAGAAATGAGAACCTATTTTTTCTATGAATGATTAGACTGGCAAACTATGATTTTAAAAGAAAACCAGTTTCAGCTCCTAGGAAATCATACTTACTGAGACATCATTGTCATAGCACATTCTATAGGTGTCATCAGTTTTCGAATAACATCTTCTGTTAGAAGCTCAGGACAGTGGGCAACAAAACTCCTCATAGCTAGCAACAACAAAAAATATTAGAAATGCCAGCTTTAAAAGATCAGTGTAATTTAAATAATTTCTCTATCAAATATATGTTACAATTCACAGTTCAGTGAATTAATTGCTACATTTTATTTCAAATTAAAAGTACTGAAGGAAAGAAAGGACATACATCAGTCTCTCTCTCATTCTACCTGTCTCTCAGAAACAGGGCTCTTTACTCAAACTATAGCTTCCCACAAAAAGAGAAAGAGCTAAACTGGCCACACACAAACACACACACATAATACAGTGTTCTATCCAATATTGTGTGCAATTATATTTCTAACCTGTTAAAAAAAATAAAAACATCCTATCCTATTCCTGTCCACGTTTATATATTTGCCAATTCCAAATATGCATATGAGTGAATATGATCCGGCTGCATGTTCTCCAAATACATTCTTCATATTTTTCATTTCAGTGCACACAGACGACGGACCAGTTTTTCCTCCACTTTGTCATAAGCAATCAAAATCTAAAGATTACTCAGAATAGAGTTCTCAGTCTCTTTGATTCTAGCTCATTACTTTAATCATAAGTATGGGGGTAAGGCCGACTGAAATAGTACTGGACGAGTCTACTATAGCTTTGAGATTCTTACCGCAGAGAGCTCCTGCACGTCCTTCCAGTGTTACTTGCCATGTAAAGGAATCTCCACGAGCTTTTTCAGCTTCTAATTCCTTTAGAGAACGCGGAAACACATTTCGCCATAGTAATAACATTTTAGGAAGATGGTAGCGGACAACTGAAGGACCTACCAGAGAGAGAAATTATACTGGAGTTTAATAAATCTCTGTGAAAGATAAAGCCAAAGAATTCTATACAGGCTTCAATGCCATTTGTACATAACATTTTCAAAAACTGCCTTTATATTTTATATGCCACTTTGACAAATTTTAATTAAAAAAAGACATCCATTAAAATAAATAGCTTGCAGTCTAATGTTAGGAAAATGATTTATCTTACTCCAATAATTGATTTTAAGGTTATAGAAATATTTGTACCTTTATAAATGTACTTATATATTAATAGTATTAATAGCTTGAAATCAATTAAAACTAACTTTAATATTCTGTTACCATTCAAGATGCTAATTACAATTTAATACTTCCTAACTACTGACAAGAATATATTTCTACCCAGGCTTTTAGTTCATAACAAAAGCTGTAGCAGAGTAATATAGCAAAGCAATTCCACTTTCAAAATAATCTGGATTTTGGTAGCAAGAACAGAAACTCATAAGGTCTAGCATCACAGAGATATCAACTATTTTCACCGTTGAAGATGTTTAATTGTTGAAGGCCACTGAAAGGTGTTTAATTCTCTATTCATACAATCTCTCTGAAAGTCCTATAAATAGAACAGATTAGATTTAAAGCACAATTTCCAACCTAATATTTACAATTTAAAGCAAAGAAAACCATGAAACAAAATGTTAACTAAGCATTTCTTCAAGGTTTGGCCACATTAAGAAATGTTGCTGCTAAATGCAAGTCAGGCAGTCTTGTTAAAATAAAAGGAATGTTGACATACAGACCTAATGTCATTAGTGCACCCAGCAAAAGCCACCCAGCCTGGGTTCGCTGTAAGGACAGTCTGCTATTTTGTGCAGCAGTCCGTAAGAGATCCTCAGCAATGCTAACAACCATCTGAAAACAAAGGGAAAATTAACTTAGAAGTGAATTAAAAAGCATCTTAATAAAATTCATAACTTAACAAAGGATACAAAATAAAAGCTTTATTTGATATTAAGGTCATTATTATTCAAATTATTTTTCCTTTAAACAGTGAAATGAAAAAGTCAAGCAAAAGAAGGAACTGTAATATTCAGCAGGGTATGGCTGAGACTCAGGGCAAAAAAACAAAAAGATGAATAAAGAAAACAAACCAAGATGTGGAAAGTGACAATAAGAGAAACACCCTGAAAAAAGAGCAAAAAGGAGGAATTCACCAACATAAAATGGAATTTGCTTCTATTGCTGTGATGCTAAACACTTTTACCCAGGAATAAGCACTACTATGTAGTAGAAAATGAGCATATGAAAGTATGAAACGCATAGAGCAATTTAAGAGGCCCAATTAAAAAGAAGCATCTTAATATCTTACAACTAGGAAGGAGCAATTATAATTTCAAAATGGATGCTTCCTAGTTTTGGAGCAGCATAGGATAAAGCTGTTTTCTGCATGCCTAGCAGAAGACATAACAGTGTTTATAAAAGGGCATTTCCCTTTTGACACAGTGAACGTATCTCAGGTTCACAGCAAGGTATGTGTTCCTTGGTAGCTACAGCTTGTGCTTTTCAGACTTTAAACCTTGAATATAATTGGGAAACTAACATCCAGTAATGCAAATCTTTAAATGCAGCTTCTTTGGAAAGTACCTTTAAACAGCTAACATTATTTTATGACAGCCTTCCTTCTCCACACCAGCATAAACAAAACAATGCAACTATTAATAATCTCACCTTTCCTTTGGCATGAGGGATACCTAGAGAACATTGATGAACTCCACCTAACAAAGCAGCCATTGCAAAACTGTACCCACTAACAGCTTCTGGGGAGGTCTTCAGGTTGTTAAGCCTTTCTGCACACCGGTCCAATAAAGGAGTTAATTGGAAAGGCAGAGCTACAGCCACACAGCGCAAACACCATGCAGCAGCAAGTCGGGCAGCCATACTTGGATGGAGAAGAACTGAAGTAACAGTCTCAAGCAATCCTGAAAACAAACCAAATAAGAGAATATTTTGAGGAAACTGCCAAAGTATTTCTTATTTGTAGTAGATTTTGTCAAAGAAAGAAGTAAATTTTACTCAGTAGCAAAAGATGCAAGGCTATCTATTTTCAGTGTTTTAATTTTTAAAAAACCTTAATAAAGACACCAAGAAGCATTCAACGGCACTCTTTAAATGCCAAATTCAGATTCAATGTCTATAGTCTAATCTGGAAAATAGGCTTTGTCTGCCTTAATGGTCCGTTAGCATGTGAATATTTTTCTTTTTATGTAGGCCTTTGGTTGGACACAATTTTAACAAACCATGCAGATTTCTAATTAATGTATCTATTATGTATTATTCAGATTTCTATGTCCGCCCCTCTCACTACAGCAACTCTGGACATTGAACAAAGCTGAAAATAGAAAATATAATATTAAAAAAAAATTAAAACATGCAATGGCTGACGGTAAAAACCACAAAATCACACCAAATTACCAGGGCTTCACTATGCTTTATATTTTTATTGTTAGACTTTATTGTTTACGCTTCATCTTTTTGATTATGCTGGTGTTTCATCTCCGAACAACTGATATTTTAGTATTCTATTGTTTTGATTGCATTGCATTACATTCTTAAATCTGTATCTATTATATCACTTTCACATTATTAACTGCCCTGATGCTTTAGAAAGGTGGGAAACTGAACTTTAAGTAAACAAAACAAACAAAAGTAAATTGGCAATTACCTATTCTGTCCATTTAATCAACTAAACTTCCAATCACTGGGATGCAAACTAGAGAAGACAAAAATGACTTATATTCCCTGGCACTTAAGTTTATATTTCACATCAGAATTGCACTGCATACATAATTATATGGCAGAAATCACTGAGATGCATTCTTAGTGTGTACAGCATGGCAACCTTAATGACTTACCTATAGAAGGCTCCTGTATAAGTGGTGATGCAGTGGCATTCAGGCTTTGAACTAAACTTCCAAGCTCTTGAAGAGCACAAACCATTACATGTTGACTTGCTGCAACTTCTGCTGCTCCTGATTTGTTTTCAACATTAGCATCATTCACAACTGTTTCTGTCAAAGTAAATTGGAAAACAGTGAATAATCCAGCATTCTGCTACACTTAAAACATACTGCTTTGGATTAGGTTCCAAAAAGGTATTTTAGAGTGCACAGGGAAGCAGACATAGGACCAGTCAGTAACTCTTTAAAGAAACCACATCTTTTCCCAGGATCCCCTGGCAGCTGCAGAGATTATATTGCTTTAAAGAGTTGCAGATAGATGTTTAATTTCACTTCTGAACACTCTGAAACCACTTTTCTGCATTATTTCTAACGAGCTACACTGTGACTAAGAAACTAAATTTAAAATCTTTATCTTTACAAAATGATCGTGTTTGCTGTATCAAACTACTATCATGGAACTGAGATTGGTTCAGTACAATAGTTGCCAATCTGTGGTTCAGGAGTCACTAGTAGGCTGCAAGAGTACTGCAGAGGGCACTAGTAAGCTTGCCAAAGTTCACAAGACATTCTCACTTGAAACAAATCAGATATATTTAATTATGGTCAATAATCAGCAAGGTAAAAAACACAGAATCAACAACCAATACAACAAAAACAGCGTAACAGTCATATAAAGCCTAAAAAGTTAAGACTTAAAAATGGAAAAATGGGGGGAAAAAAGTAAGATAGAATAAAACAATATAAAACATAAATAGAATGAAATAAAAATGCAATAAAAGAAAAAATGATGTCATGATGTCATCATTCCAAGATAAGATTATCTTATGCTTTCTTATGGAAATCGTTGCAGATAAAAACTTAGCAACTCTATTGGTGATGGCAGGATTCTGAGTGGCAAGTAGGAAATGAACATCCTCTCCCTCACAAAAGGTCTGAGTTTTTCAGGAGGTAGAGGTTATGTCTGCAATTTGGTATAAAAAGTGCAGCAGAAAAATGCATGCAACAGGGTCTCTGGTTCATTCTGACCAGAACCACAGCATCTGCCAATGAATTACTAGACCTCCCATCTAGTAATATTGAGGGTAAGGCATTGAAATGAACTGGAAAATAGAATAAGTAGTTTGCATGTACAAAAAGTTTCCAAATTGGAACCCACCACTGAAAGTTGGTTGTGTAAAAAACTTCTTGATGGATTTTGGCTTTAGTTCTCTCTAAACCTAGGGGCAACAGAGAGTAGATAGAAAGGCTGTAATAACAAAGGCCACCTGAGATTTTTACTTTTCACTTTGATGAAAAGCCATCAAGGAGAATTGACAGGGCCAGTGGAAAACAGGAATTTAAGCCACTAAGAGAGTTGGCAAACAAGGGCTCTTGTCTCCAGTGGAATCACACGTGTTTCCATGTGGATTAAAGCATTTGAAATGCAGCAAAAACCTAAAGTGAACAATGTCTAAGAGTTTTGAATCATTGTAGACACATACCTGTGCACCATACAGTATTGGGGATATAGTTTTAGCTTTAATAAGCTTGATGGTGGCAAGTATGCCACTGTCCCCTTTAGAATGAAAAAAAAACAAAAACAAAAACAAAAAGCAGGATCACCTTGGTGTTATTGTTAGCTTTGGCAGAAATGGCTCTAATTTGTTCCCACCAAGCTCCAGAAACTTGAAAAATTACATGAAGTTATTTAAAAGCTGGAATTTATGCAACTGATATGGAACAAAAGCTATTTATAGTTGTAGCAACGAAGGTCTTCCTGAGAAAAACATAATTTTGGTCTTAGAGTGATTGACTGTAAGCCATTTCTCCTTACAGAATTCTGCTAGGGCCTGCAGATTTTCTCCTGAGGCCCACCTCGGTAAGCAAAATAATTGCTGTATCATCAGTATATAGCAGTACCACCAAATGCTTGTCACAAAGTTTAGGAGAATGGAATTCCCTTTTTGGTTAAGGCAGCTATCATTGAATTTACATAGATGTTAAACAACAGAAGAACTACAATACAATCTTGTTTTGTTTCTCAATGGATTAAAATGTCCACAGGAAGGTGGCCAGCTCTATCAGCTCTATCACATCTAACTTGGATTTTAATTGACCTAATTAGGAACAGTAGCTGCCAATCAATAGAGTCCGCCCTTGAAATACAACTGAAGGGCAGTTTTAAGTCAATGAAGGCAAATTTTAAGGGTAATATTGTCCAGGTGTATATTTCTTTATTAAAAATTATAAGATGGCACATTGATCTACTATAGATCTGTCCTCCCTAAATGATTGATGTTGCTTGATCACTGGCTAGGAGTTTCTCATGGTCCAGCCAATCCAATAATTTATAATACAAGAAGTGAGCATGTAATTCACCAGGCATAGGCAACTGGACCATATTGCTGAAAAGAGAGACCAAGATAGAGGCCTACCAATTGGCATTTCCCTTCAGTAACTCTGGTGGTCACAGCTGAGGGCATCCCCTGCTGTACCGTACATCC